GGGCAACTAATAGGGGTTATGGCCTAGCCTACATAGGCTCAGGTCAGGCCAGGATTTTTCTTAAATAGAAAAGGTCTAGGCTTTTTTGTAAGCCTATTTAGCTAAAGAGGCTAGGCCACAGGCCATAAGAAAAGTCTTTTAAGCCTATCAAGCTGCCTTATTTAATAAAAACTCAATAAATTTATTATTATTATATTTTATTTTGTATTGTGAATTAAAATATAAAAATAAAACTTAGTTATCTTGAAGAACTTATGAGTTTTTTTTATAGGTTCTCTCCAAAAAATGGTATCACCAAACTTATGCTAATATGTAAATTTGAATGAGACAGTGAAAACAAACATTTAATCTTATTGGTCTTTTAATTTGTTGGTCTATTTAACATTAGTTGAATTTCTTGTTTACAAATGTTCAAATGAAGTAGACTTTTAATAGACTAGTAGGTCAATCAGCCCTTAGAAAAGGTCAGACTTTGGCCTAAAAATAAGCCTATGATAGGCTACAGGCCAGATTTAGGCTTTGAATTTTTTAGCAGACCAGGCTCAGACTTGGCAACCTTTTGTGCCTCTGTAGCTTTTGCCCCAGGTGGTGTAACAACATTCTTGATCACTTCAAGAACCTCTTGATACCCAAACAACGCTTTTATTTTTTTTACCACTTGTCATAATTCTTGAAATCAAGAATCAGAAGGTTGGTAGGAATTATATCGTTGGAAACATAACTCATTGTCGCAACGAAATTGGATCAGAACTAGAGTTTTTGATGCCAAATGTTAGAACACACAAAATTAATCAAGGTGAATTAATGGAGAATTAGGATAATTTAGAGAAGATAAAGTTGAGAATTGAGAAATAAAAATAGAGAGAAAGAGTAATTGAGGGTGAGAATGAAAATTGACATTAACAATAATTGAAAGCACTAAAGGCCTTTTATACATCAGTTATAAATCAAATGAAAAAATAAAACAACTTTAAAATAGGTTAAAAACTGAAAATGTTACAGTGGTAACCGGTTATCATAATCTGAGTAACCGGTTACACCCAGTTGAGCGCCCCACTGCTATTGAATAACGACCATGTAACCGATTATCATATACAGTGTAACTGGTTACACCAATAGAAATGCAGAAAAATGGCTTTTCAACAAGCTTCAGTGCATTATGTTGATGTCATTCACTCCCTGATTTCTTCTATTCAAACAAATATAGTGAGAAAAATTCATCTCCTTCATAGGTAGAATTCAACCAAAATCATACATGTGTAAGAAAAGTTATCCACAAATAAAAAGAATAAATTATGTTTACGATTTGTAATGAGCAAGTCAGTACCCAAGATCCCGACAATTTTGTATCCAAATTCGCCCTTATAGGATGTTTATACAAATCGGAGCTTGCTCACGCTGCTTGTCAGAGACTACTGACAGGTTTCTCCATTTTGGATTAGAACTCCTATTAGTTTTGGTAACCTTTTATTTTGCTAAGTTACCTCTTGATGATGGATGAACCTAACTCATCCTTTAATAATGGCTATGGATTCAAAAGAAAATTATGATGTTGATACCCGCTTAGAGGCAATTAGCAACTTATGGATTTTGTGTGACTCGAGAAAGTTTTACCAGAGCCTCACGGTGGGCACCAAATGTTCGTTAAAACATCATTTGGATAAATCTCCCTGAAACTAGTCAAGTGATATCACAATTGTCCTATTTGTTAGGAGGTATATTAGATATGGGTCATGGCCATCATTATTGGTGGCCAAGGTTTCATGTGTTTCCACTTTTTTTTGTGTTTGGGATCATGGGTCTTTTTATATGTCAAGTCTTTCCTTCCTTGGACACTGAAGAGGCATGGCCTCAATAGGTTTTAGTAACAATTAACCATTCGTAACTGACTCATCATTAAACATTCTGTAATGAATTCTTCCATTGGAATTCCATAATGACACCAACTTGGACAGTCCTTTCAGAGCCCGGTAAATTGAATTTGGGATGTGCATGGAGTTCGCCACCCGACTTCATAATAATTCCCCGACCTCATAAAATTCTCGGGATGTACATTTTAGTATGTTTAAATTGGAAGAGGGAGTGTTTAAAAGATGAATTTGTGAATAAAAAGGGTGAACCAATCAACTAGTTATGGGCTTATATGTCAAGCAATTGATTGTTTCATAATTCTATCAAGAAAAATTGAAATTTTACTCATGTCAATCGATTGACATGACATACCAATTGATTGGTCCTGACAAAAATGCTTAACAGAAGCTCTGCGCAATTGATTGGCTCACCAAACAATCGATTGGTCCTTATGTGTTTTGTCTAACACCACTTGTTTCAGGTTTCTAAACCACCTTGGATGAACTATAACTTGTACCATGATGTGTATGCATTAAATTAGCAGTAAGCGTTTGAATTACATGAGTTTAGGTGTGTTTTAACCTAGAATCTCGATTAGGTTAAAAGGATTAGTTAATGAGTTTTGTAACTCGTAATTATGTGTGAAAGGATGTGTTAGGAAGCTAACATAGAGAACTATAATATAGAGAGAGGTCTCTATAAGTTATTCCATTATGTTTTCCTTTGAATTCGTTAACTCCACCATAGGATGATCGGACAGACATTTACTACGTGACGTGAAAGTGGAATAAGATAGATTGAGGATGGACTGTGTAATAGCTTTGAATATGATTGTTGCAACATATTATGTTATCATGTGTGCTTTGTGTATGCTACGATTTATATTGTGAATTGTTGTTTGTGTTGATTGTGTATAATATGACTAAAATCATATGATGATGAGTGAGGAAACTCAGGAGTATAACTAAGTGAATGAACTAGAGAGATAACTTAAGTTATGAAAATGACTTAAGTGGCAATGCTTGGACGCAAAGGTACTTCGGCGTGTGTAGTGAACGATTAGTCGCTAGAATTGTAGTTTAATCACAAATAATATGTTTTGTATGGAACATGAAGTTGATGTTATGAGAATTGGTGGTTGTGATCACCTAGTGATTCATGAGTGCAACCACGTTGTGTTTAATAAACTAGTCATGTATTCGGAAACAACCTCATTATTGTACATGTCCCAAAGTTTAATGCTTAAGAAAAGTAAGAATTGGGATATATGCATTATTGCTTCGAATGTTCAACCAAATGGGTTATAGTCCTATATGATCAACCAAATGGGTTAGAGTCTCATAGAAGACGTGGATCTTAAAGTGGGTTAGAATTTCATATGAGGAAAAAGGCTCGAAATGGGTTTGAGTCTCATAAGGAGCGACGATTCTAGAAGTGGATACGAGTCCCATGGAAGAATCTGAAATCCACAAAATTTGAAGCATGATACAAGGATTCGTGACTCGTGTCGATAATCTTAGACGTATGGTTGACTGGGAAAAAGATGTTTTGGTATGATTTTTGAATAATGATTGATTTGAGTAATATGAACTCAAGTGACATGTTTCCATACAATGTGAGTATCCCGTAGAAACTTAAGTCTTAGTTACATGGTGCGAATGATACACAAGTAACGAAAGATGAAGACTTGAGTTAGAAATCGATTAGAAACCCTGTAGAGGCGAGTGGATCCATAGGGAGGGGAACTCACTAAGATTATTATCTCACCCCAATATCATTGTTGTTTTTCAGGTGTTATTGCATGTTATATGCAAGAGAAGTTGTATGTTGATGTTTCAAAGGGTTCTGATTATTGTGATCTTTCAATGTGGATCGTGTGCAATGAAGAGATTGCATCTAGATCTAAGTTTTCTTTTTTTGGCACTATTGTATAACACGTGTCATAGATGTATTTTTAGTTTAGACATGTGTATATAATAATGTCATTAGACTCTTGTGTTGTATCAGTACCAATTAATACTATCTATAATGTTCTAGATTATATTATACAGGGTGTTACAGTGGCAGTAATACAGTCCCCCAAAATAGTAAAATTAGTGCATTGATCAATAAAACTACCTATTAAACATGTTTCTCGTGATGTATAAACTATCTATTTCATAACATAATCATCAATTTTTACATATTTATACAAAAACTCAAAAAAAAAAAAATTGACGCAAAATCAAAAACTTAAAAACTCAAAAGTTAAGAAAAATCAAATACATATTGCTTTTAATTAGTAATCAGGGATTGTGTATACTCATTTAACAACATAGTCATCTCTTATTCAAAGCTTGCTATTTCCCTCTTAGAAAGTTGTGGCAATGCATTTCTTTTAAGCAGCAAAACAATGATATATTGACTAGAAAGTTGTGGCAATGCATTTAGTGTGGTAAACTCAGTATAGGAGATTGTTCGATTATCCCTATTTGGGGTGAAAAATGGTTTAGCGACTAATTTACTTTTAGTTAGCCCCTCGTCTTATCAATCATCATTAGGGTTTACAAATAAACTTGCCCGGCCGGACAATATTGAAACCTAAAATCTTAGTTTGCCTCACAACAAAATGAAGAGGATAGCCCATAGACTTGCCGTGTGTACGGACCTAATTTTCCACCCCTAATCATTATGCTCAAGACCAACTTTGTGTGGCTGATTTCCTTACACCACATATACTGAAGTGCAGAACTCTCGGTTCATCATCAAATTAATTATTAAAAACCATTGTACGATATCTTTACTCGGAAATAGCAAATATACGAGTGGTGCTGAGAGACTAATATGGACTATTTGGTAAAGAGTGAACGTTTGTGGAAACACAATCTTGTCAATAAGTTTCCTCATGCAAGTATTTGAAAAATTCAACAAACACAAACTTCAACAGGTGCGCAGAGTTACAAACATTAAGTTTGGTTCTTAAATTTGATTTACTTTGTTTTGAATAAAACTACACAGCACAAGTTATATGCTTAAACATATAGCATTCTTGTCAAGGTTACTGGAATGTGCACATGGAAATTCCTTTTGACAATGTCGGAATGCTAGGGGGAAAAATGTAACAAAATTGAAAGGGATCAAAGTGAAATCCTAAGGATTTTTAACCAGCCTCAATTTTGCTCTTGTTTTGCAGCATCGGCACCGTTTGATGTATCCATGTGATCAGCTTCGGCTTCACCTTCAGTAACTTTCTTACCTGCAAAAATAAACAAAATCTCTTCAGTACTACTAAATGTTTATTTGTCAGTGAGGACAATAAGAAAAGAAAATTAGATTTTGCTACATTAGGCATGGTAAATGAGTATATGAGAAAATAAGCCTTAGCACACAACTTTAAAATTATATTTTTTCAAGCTTAAGCATACCTTTCTTCTTCTTCCCACCGCCCTTCTTCTTTGTCTTAACACCCAATGCTAACCAGGCCTTAATCTCAGGATCATCTACTATTTTAGTAGGCTGGATTTCCTGGAGTGGGTGTGACGTTATACGATCTGAACCATTTGGCATAAGCAAGACTGTAAATTTGATATGTGCAACATAATCACCTGAAAAAAAATAAGAAATAATGAAACGGCATGATTAAACAGTCTCAAACATACATGACAATCATTATCAGAGATATCAACTGATGTCAGCAGCATATATAATATTGCTATTCAAAAATAAAACTACATTTATAATATTACCAGATTTTTCATGTAGAACAGGATAAGGTTGCAGAAGCTCGTGATTCATGCACTCCACTAAACCCAGACGGGCTCTCTTTTCTTCCAAAGCCCTGTAAAAAAGGGATAAAATTTGAAGTCGAACCGAAAATGAATTGAAGCTCAAACATCAGTTAAGACAAAGGATATGTTTGATTGGCTTATGTTGTTTTCAATTCCATAAGTTGAAGAGATGTAGCTTATAAATACAAATTATAGCATATGTAAAAATAGTTTGGCTTTATTTTTATCTTTTGTTATATAAAAATCTTATAGAAATCACTTAGATGATAAGTGTTTATGCAAGAAGCGTCCATTTAAGAATGTTTACACAAACTACACCAAAGTAATAAACAAGCGGATGACCAAGTTACCTGGCAGAGAAAGGCATGATGGGAAAATTTTGGCTTATTTCACTGTAAATGAACCTAGATGCTTTCATCTTCAAGTTATAACTTCTATCAACAGCTCTCTTATAAATGGTTGTCTGTTTCTCATCTAGCAGTTTCGGCTGCAAAGGAAAGAAAATTTCACTTAATTTTTATTGAGAAACTGTATAATATTTGTAAACATTAAAATAAAATTCAACTACCTTGCCTTCTCCGGTGCTGGCTACAATATCAATTGCATAAACTTCATTCTCTTCGAACTCCGCATCATCAACCCTTGTATCCGGATTTGATACATTTAGCACAACCTTATTTGCATCAATCACAAATTGCTTCATTTGGTGGCTAAGAACACCCTCAACAATTCTACAATCATAGGCAGCAGCAACCTTCTGAATCGCGTCAGTTACATCTTGGTTCTGTCAGGGAAAAAATATTTGTTATGGCCTAGTTAAATACATAACAATAACTGTAACAACAAAAATTATAACTTATCTTTCTTAAACTCATTTAACTAAAATTTCCCAAAATAGAAATTGCTTAAACATGAAAAGAAACAAAGGCAATGCACTAAACCATTTAACAATTATCAATAAGCTTAGAGAAAAATCAAGGGCATTTATATAATAATTAAGTAATTTGAATAATAAAGAATGTCACTTTCTAGACATTATTTCAGCATATATAACATTAAACCAATATCAAATCAATAAAGCAAAGTTAACATTATACAACTACTTCTTGTGCACACATTTATAGATATAGATTAGAATAATGTATTATGTTGGCTGCAATAGACAAGTACTGACTGTAAAGTCAGAACAACAATAAACTACTAGTCAGCCGTTTTGAGTTTAGGCAACAGGGAAAAGAGGAAACCAAGACAGATTCGATAACCTCGGCAAAGTTGCCATTACTACCATTCTATTCACACATTCATCTATATTCAATGATTTGATTATACTGTATAATGTTGGCTGCAATGTACAAGTGGTCTGATTACAAAATCAGCACAGCATTAACTACTAAAGCCAATAAAATTTAGACAACAGGGAAAAGAGGATAACCAATACAAATATGATTGCCTCGGCAAAGTTGTCATTAATTTAATGTATTTAACAAATTCAGAAATTGATTAGATAATATTATCTCGGCTGCAATAGACAAGTGTACTGCATAAAAACCAGCACAACAATTAAATACTAAAGCCAGTATTAATTTAGACAACAGGGAAAAGAGAAAAACCAATACAAACTTGATTGTCTCGGCAAAGTTGTCATGAACAGCTTCACATGTGAATGATTATTAGAATTTTGATATAATTAACCACATCTGAAGTTGTAAAACCTTAGGATACAAGGGACCAGCTAGAGAGTCCTATACTATCCCCTTAACTAACCATAAAAGTTATAATGATGTATTATGTTGGCATTGGTAAACAAGTGTACTGCCTACAAAATCAGCACAACAATTAACTACTAAAGCCAGTGCAATTTAGACAACAGGGAAAAGAGGAAAACCAATACAAACTTGATTGCCTCGGCAAAGTTGTCGTGAACAAACTTCTACTGTGTATAAAATAGAATAATATATAATGTCTGCTCCAGTAAACAAGTGTACTGACTAAAACATCAGTACAGCATTAAACTGCTAGAGCCAAAACAATTTAGACAACAGGGAAAAGAGGAAAACCAATACAAACTTGATTGCCTCGGCAAAGTTGTCAAATAGTTTTTTGTGTGCAATAGAAAAGAATGATGATGACACAATTTCATGATATTATGGTCAATAATACCACCATTTAGCAATCAAACTCTAGATTTTCGTTTTGCAAGATAAAAGCCCTATCAGAGTAACTATGACATATAAGCATCATTTGAACAACTGTCCATAGCTTTTAGAAAATGATTCATCACAAGGGTTACAACTTGGGTCTTGCAAAAATATTAACACAAAATAAAATAAAAAAATACATTAAATGTAACTTAAAAGGAACGAGAAAATTAAGTGAATACGTTATTTTAAGATATCAAACTTACGGAAGGGTTTACAAGATAATTGTGACTAGAATTTACAAAGAAAACTAAAGAATGATGACGACACAATTTCATGATATTATGGTCAATAATACCACCATTTAGCAATCAAACTCTAGATTTTCGTTTTGCAAGATAAAAGCCCTATCAGAGTAACTATGACATATAAGCATCATTTGAACAACTGTCCATAGCTTTTAGAAAATGATTCATCACAAGGGTTACAACTTGGGTCTTGCAAAAATATTAACACAAAATAAAATAAAAAAATACATTAAATGTAACTTAAAAGGAACGAGAAAATTAAGTGAATACGTTATTTTAAGATATCAAACTTACGGAAGGGTTTACAAGATAATTGTGACTAGAATTTACAAAGAAAACTAAAGAATCCTAATAAAAATGTTAGGGAAACCACATCACTCGAGAATGTGAACTCCACACTAATAGTGTCACATGATCACATTAAGAATGACCAAATCGGCGGTGTTCATTTCCAATCTGGCATACTATCCAGCCAGCCCATCATGGAAGGGTGTATACGTTTAAAAATAAGTAAATCTCTGTCAGTGTAACTATGACAATATAAGGCTTCATTGGTGTTTATCCATAGCCTATAACATCTTCATCATACAGAGACTAGTTTTAAAAATTCGGAAATTTGAAAATAGACGATGTATACCATAATTTTTTGTAAAGCTTCAGCCAAAAGTGGAAGGAATGGTAAAAAAATCATGAATAACATTACTTGAGCAAGATAAATAACTTACAAATAGCTTGAAGTATAAAACAGACAACCAAGAAAGGTCTAAGTAGATTTAAGCATGAACAGAAAACAGACAGGTCTAAGTAGATTTAAGCAGCTGGCAATTAAACATGATACATCTCATCGTTATACTACAAGTCAATAGTGAAAGAAATTCAAAGACATCGACCATACATTATAGCATTCATCACAGAAGAGATGTAACAGTTGCATTTGAACTTATAAACTAGTGAACAAAGATATAGAAAAACAAAGAAAAAAAATCATTTTATCAGCAAAAAAGGTAAAAAAAAATATATCTCTATCAGTGTAACTATGACAATTAAAGCATCACCGGAGTTAATCCATAGCTCATGATAGTTTACATCATTTAGAGATCAAAACAAGAAATAAACCACAAAGTAGTTCACATCATTTCATTAAATATGGACAATGACATGAAAACTTACACTCTAGAACTTGAAGTACCCAAATCAAAAAATAATAACAACCCATCAAATTAGAATCAACTCAAGAGATTAAATATAAAGTAATCAGATCAAAATGACCTCAGATATAACAGGTGAGTCAATATATGAAAATTCTTACACATTATATTACCTTCTTTCCAGGCCTAACAAGCCTCAATGCCACTTCAGCAGCAGTATTTGCTGCAGCAATTACATCAGCTGCACGTCCTGTAACAGGCCCCTCTTGAAGAACATGTGTGTGAGCCACAGCAGCAATAAACCCATCAATATGACACGCCAAATCACTGTAAAAAAACAAAGATACCATTACTATACATCTCCAAACAACAGTACAAACTAAAGCAATATACATCCTATCAAGAAAAATGGGTCAAAGGAGTCTTACATTTTCAAAATATCCCCTTCTTCCAAAACCGTTTCATCGCTTGCAAGAGGAGAGAAATGACACACAGTATTGTTTACAGACACGCAAGTTGGGAAGGCAACACCTCTCTCAATCTTCTTCTTGACATTCTTGTACATGTTACCAGTTTGCCTTATTTACAAAACACACCACACCCCATATAAGCTAAAACCACAAAAACAAAACACAGAAATCACGCATACACATATGAAACAAATTCCATAAATCACATGAAATGGTAGCCTAAACAAAATAAAGATCTTACTCTCTAATGAAAGAATCCCCTTTCTCGCAAATGTCCACAATCTTGACCTTCGGTTTACATTCTGAAATAACTAACTGCAAAGCCTCTGTAAATTGAGGATTTAACACGAAATCAGACAAAATTAAGAACATTATGCAAACAAAAAAAAAGCTTGAAAGAGTGGTTCATACTGTTAGCAATCTCTGCAGCGCTTTTGTACTTGGTTACGACATCAGGAGAGGTGAGATCCAACTCTTTCTCGTCTCTCTCGTCATCGGACATGGCGAATTGGCGTAGCGAGGTTCGGATTGATGGTGAAAAATGGAAGCTTTGGAGAAAAATGAGAGTGGCTAAGTGGAAGTGAAGCTGCTAGAAATTAGGGTTAGTGGTTTATATAGAGGATTTGTTGATGTCGTTACACGGAGGCGTAGGGTTTTAGCTTTCTTACCCTCGCTATGGATGGCTTATTTTCTTGTTTTTTTAATGGGATCGAGCTATAACTAGATTAATAAATTTATTTTTTATAAAATAATTTTTTTTTTAATTTTAGAGGATTATACAATAAACCTTTGAGTATCTTTGGATAAAAAAATAATGAGAATAAATAATTTTAAATAAAATAAAATAAATAATTTGATTAAAATCTATTATTTGAATAAATTATATGTAAACGATTATTAAAATAATGAAAATATATGTATAATAAAAAAAATATTGAAATTTTCCTCCCACTATATATCAACCTGGCAGTATCACATTGTATATTGTATTTGCTAAAATATGTACCTAAAAACATGATTTTATATGTGAGAAGGTTTTGCCTGGGCAGGTTCATATCAAATAGAACTAATAATTTTTTTCTAAAATAATGCTATTTCGGAATCGGTCATATTACTTGAATTTATTTGTCTCATTTTCCCATTGAAAAATTAAAACATGACACAAAATCTTGCTAAATTCGTTACATATTACTGAATTGTCTAAAAGAAACTTTGTATTTTATGTCTTGTTGATATTCGCATCAATGCACAAAAACCTTGATAAGCGTTCAGCCATTGGGTGTATTTGTGAGAGCAATCACCTATTGATTTAAGACGTCGACCTCAAAATCATTAAACGGAATACATAAACTCAATATGAAAAATAATCATTCATATAGGGGAATGATGCATTTGTCATATTGTCGTATTCTGATTCTGTCCCGCCAAATTTCTCTGTTCATTTTTAATCCTTTTGCATTGCATGCACTGCATTTTTTAGACATGGTTCATCTGAGCCAAGGCAGAGATTAATAGTAAGAACTTTTGCAAGGTTTGTTTGATCACTTTCACTGCATTTTTGCATTCTTAAACTTTTAAGGTTATGTTTAAAAAAGACAAACAGATAAGTCTTTTTGTTTGTCTCAATTTTATTAATATCAATTTTTATATCACTTTAGTTAATTCTTTTTGTTTGTCTCAATCTTTATTAATATTAATTTTTATATCACTTTAGTTAATTCTTTTTGTTTGTCTCAATCTTTATTAATATCAATTTTCATATCACTTTAGTTAGATAATATTATTATCCTTATTTCAATTACCTATACTCATCATTTTATCATCTTTCATCATTGTTTTGAAATAGAATAAAAAAACAATGTTTCATTTTTCAAATTGCATTTTGAATTATTATTCAATATGACATTTTTCCTTAACATTTATCAATTGTTTTTTTACACTATCATCACATCCCATGGCATTAAAATAAATATTGGATTTGGAATGGAAGTGAATGAAAATTCATTTTTAAATAAAAGTTCTAATTTTTTTTGTTGAATTTTAGGGTTCATTATATCGCAACATCAACATTCCATATATTACCATGGCATTAAAATAAATATTAAAGACAAAATAAGACAAACTCAATTGGATTTAATCTTTGTTTTTGATACATTAGTAATATGAGTGACATAGCACCATCTTTCACTCACCACATACATAATATTTCAGAATGGCCATGAAAAACAAATAAAATTTTGAAGTGAAAAAGGAGAAAATAACAATAATACATTCACTCAGCATCCATCCTCGCCTTTAGGGGTGGAAATAGGTTGGCCCAAGCTAGGCTTTGTCAAGCCTAAGTCTGGTCTGCTAAAAGATTCAAAGCTTAAGTTTGCCCTGTAACCTATCATAGGCTTATTTTAAGACCTAAGTCTGGCCTTTTCGAATGTCTGATTGACCTACTAGCCTATTTAAAAGTTTACTTCATTTAAACGTTTGTAAATAAGAAATTCAACTAATGTTAAATAGACTAACAAATTAAAAGATTATTAAGACTAAATCTTTGTTTATATTGTCTCATTCAAGTTTGTCTATTAGCATAAGTTCGGTGATACTATTTGTTGGAGAGAACTTATGGAAAAAAAACTTATGACAACAACTTATGACATTATTTATAATGTTTTTTCAACTTATTTTCATAAGTTGTTCAAAATAACTAAACTTTATTTTTGTATTTTAATTCAAAGTATACAATACAATATAATAATAATAAATTTATTGATTTTTTTATAAATAGGTCGGCCTGATAGGCTTAAAAGACTTTTCTTACGGCATATGGCCTAACCTCTTTAGCTAAATAGGCTTATAAAAAAACCTAGACCTTTTTTATTTAAGAAAAAGTCTGACCTGACCTGGACCTATGTAGGTTAGGCCCGTAGGCCCTGTTAGTTGGTATACCCTAATCCTACCCCTACTCGTCATGCTCGTCCCTTCATGACAAACAACTGTGGAAATAAAATTTGATCAACATTGGTTTATTGAATAAAGGCACACGAATTACATGAATTGTCAGCATCATATCTCCATATCATTCATCATTAGCATCAGCACAAAAAAAAACTAAAAGGACATTAAAATAAAAATTGAGATTGGATAATGTGGATTCATTTTATTATAATACAACATGAAACACCAAGGGAAATGCATGAAACAGTTTGCATATTCTTGACCATCATCCTCCATGTCATGCCATAATAATCATTTTCACGCCATCATTTATGGCCTTCACATATCACGTTTCCGCACCCTCAATCACACGAGTTATCATCTCATTTCATTCCCTCTCACATTCATAAAACTCCATTTAATTCACTTCACAAAATCCTTACTCACTCTCTCAATCTACCCTATTTAAGGAGTCATTCGTTCACTCTAAAAGACACTTGAAAATCCCCACACAAAAAACCTTACAAAAGTGCTTCTCCAAACCATCATTGCTCGAGCTTTACAACCTAGCATCCCATGGAAAGAAAGAAGAAGAAAGAGACGAGGGAATTCATACAACATAAAAGAAAGAGATGCGAAGAGCGGAGAAGGCATACCTAAAGGTTTAAAGTTGTTGTCGTGCTTTCCAAAATCCTGGAAATCCCAAGTTTTGGCGAGGTCCTTTTTCCTTGATTTCCCATTTGCTTCCTTTTTTCTTGTTGTTTTGCTTGCTTGTTGTTTTTTTATGGTTTCCAATTATTGTAATCTTAATGTAACTATGAAGGATTAATGAAAAAGGGGATAGGGTTTTGAATTATGAGAAGGTCGATCCTTTTATTTCATAATGAATTTGTTTGTTTTGACGTCGGATTTGTGTTCAGGAGATGAAAAGAGTGGGGGTTGGCGTCCATGATTTTTGAATTTTACAGAATCTGGAAAATAGATGTTGAACATGTTCATGTGTTCATTCGTGTTCTTGTTTAAGCCACTGTGGTGATCTGAATAGGTGAGAATAAAATGTGTGGAAAATATTTGTGGATGAGAGAGAGGAGAGAGGTCTATCTGAAGAGAGAGGAAGAAAAATGGAAATGATTCACATGGACTATTTCCTCCTCGTTTTGATCTTTGGGTGTTGGCTCATATTAGCCACGTGTAGCGACGTCCTAGGCCCTTAGATTTTCTTACTACATAATTTGACTTGGGGATCCCCATTGTATCTCATGCTCCCTCAACTCTTCACCCTTAGATCTGATTAATAACGTATCTAACACCCAGTTAAGAGTCTAAGCTTTGACTCTCTTAGCTAATGGGTTGGGCATGGCATCTCGGCCTACTTGCTCGTGTACCTCCCCCTTCTTATTTGTTTCATTTCGTTTTATTATTATTTTCCTTTATATTTGTTTGTTGAGCCTTTGGGCCATTCTTGGTTTTACCCTTTTTTTATCACCTTTTCCATTGCGTATATCTCTCCCCTCTTCATCCTTTTTATTTTATTTTTTATTGTTAATTTTAATAAGAAAAATAATACTTTCAAAACTAAAAAACTCTTGATTAAAATCAATCCCTTTTTAAAAATCAAGTTAAAACCTTTTTAAGTCAAAATCAAGTACTTTTATAAAATAAGCGTGAACCTAAACTTTTGGTCTTTTCAAGTTCTTTTCAAATCTAATTATTTCAAAAACTTTTTCGCAATAAATAACCGGTTGAAAAAGTATTAGTTAGACGTACTTGTCACTCTTAGTCCCCGAGTATTTGGATGATGGTCGCACTTAGCCTACCATTCGAATACTCGTCCTCCATTTCAAAATACATTAAATCATTGAATTCAATTCATTCTTTCATGGACAAAAAATATTATATGGACGTAATTATCCTTCATAGTCCAGAGTATTTGTATGGTGGTCGTACTTAGTCTCCCGTGCGAATACTCCTTATTCGTCAAAGAAACATGACCTAATTCACCTCACAAATTTCATAAATAACTTGGATGAAAAATAATTAGTGTGATGTATGTATCCCTCTTAGTCCCCGAGTATTTGGATGGTGTTCGTACTTAGCCTCTCATTCAAGTACTCGCCATCCACCAAAATATAACCTCAATAAATCAAACCTCTTTTCCATCTTAGCACGATTGCAAACTCTTTTTAAACGAAATATGTGTCGTCCATTATGAGATGATGCAAATAAAGTTTTGCCCCTATCATGTGCGAGAAGTAAGAATGATTTCCGCTCGAATGCGATGAAAACATAACTCTGTGAGATTCCAAGTTATGTTGTCCATTTTGATGCAACTCACAACGTTCCTTATTTTCATGACTGGTAGCAAGCAATGTTTTCCGCTCGAGTGCGAACTAAGTATCTTTCACTAAAATCGACTAACATACAAACATTTGCTACCCAAAACTATGTAGCCTCAAGTTCTCCATCGTACCTGGGGATACGTAGGAGCGAGATTCAATGTCACGTCAGACACCCTAATACAAAACTTATTTTTAATCTTTTTCCTTATTTTTTATCAAACTCTTCATAATTAGA